CAAGGTTGTTCTGTTCATATTATAATCTTTCTAGACAATCATAAATTACCATCAATTAAGGTACCGTATTACTGTGGTACGCTAAAACAATATTAAAGGCTCTCTTCACATGAGCAACCTTATCAGGCCATTTATCCGGCACGGTCCACACACGTTTTTACAATACGTTTCAAACAATGAAGTTTCACAGTAAAATGGCACTCGAAACAGGGCGTTAAAGATTCAACTGTCTAATGCACCTACTGCTGGTATCTTTGCAATAGTCGCAAATATATTACAATATAAACATGTAAAAAATTAAATCATCAACTTATCTCGCCTTTCTAGCGGAGAAGGCGCCAGTTAGGATCCCTCGAAACACATCTGTGGGATTTTACTAGACCCCCAGGACCGACCACAGCTCATGCCCAATGTCTAGTAGTATTCTTTTTTTGGTAGTCGAAGATCGAGCGGCACGTGATTACTTGTTCTGCACTTGATGCTATTCTCCTATAAGTATATGGTGCGACGGTAATAGATGGTGCATTTAGTGCTTTAGTACACGGGAACGTGATACCCGAATCACGTTACAACTGTAAGAAAACAGCCAATCACAAGAAAAAAAGACGCAATTTTGTCTACTGTCTGAGATATCTACTAAAGCATTGTATTTATGAATTATCTACGAGCTTTACAACGCAATCATTTCCTTTACAAGTAATCGTAAACTTGATGCAAGAGGTAAATCATTTATCAACGAACGCGTCCTGCAGCCTTCACCGACCGCAACAATGCAAAAAAAAATTATATCGAATTGCCTCCTATCTAATTGCACCTCGTTTGTAACGTTATCAGTTGTTACGAACGTTGTCATATTCATGAGTCCTAATATTCTATACCTTTGCGTTTTTTGAGGTCTCTGGAGGAAGTTGGAAACCGTTATCATGGGCTGGAGTCCATGCTCCGGGTATCGAATGAACCTAGCGTCTTTGTACATCTCGAGGACAACCAGTAACAATGGAAGCATCACTATGATCAGTACTTAGTCATAAGATAATTCGCTTCCGATCTATAAATGATCCATTAGGCTATACGCAGTCCAGAGAAACGCACATTTACGTTTTCAAACGAATTACCAGTTTTTATGCAATCTGAGCCTGTCACAGTTTAAGTAGTTTGAAGCTAGTCGCATTGTGTGTGGCAAAAAGCCCCACACCATGGAAACCTGACAGAGTGAACACCGAATCGCGTCCGCACACCCCCATAGCAATGGTAATGATTCTCTGTGCAATGAAAATAATTTTGAGAAACAAATGAGTATACTGAATAGAAGCGGGAAAGTAATTGTTGCACGGTCAAACAAACAGCGGCTTAACCGTCATGGCAAGAATTGCTCTCCCGCAATGGTTACCGCTTGACGCCACCCGCGACTTTTGTATATTATAGATTCAGGGTGCTGATGAGCCAACAACAATAGCTAATTCAGCTCGCTGTGTTGCCTTGAATAATTACCGCGTATGGCTTTCACATCTCACTTACTGTCATTGCTTATGCTGTTGTCGGCCCAATGCAATACACATATTTAAGTAGAATCGAAAAACAGGGGCGTTTTGGCTTGGACTCATTTTGAATTTTCGCGCGCGCCCAGCAGAAGCTCAAATTAAACTTCTAGCTGCAACAATAGTAAATGGGCGCTACCGTTAGCTTTCGGTAGCGTCCTTAAATGGATGACGCGACAGCTTCCGGTGTCACTAGCATGTCCACACACGCACGTATATATGTGTAAATATTTCTAATTCGATTGACCCGCTTGTCTTGGTGGTGCGGTGCGATAGCGTTACGACGAGCCGTTACCACGAATTAACAAGAGCCTCGGATAACGTCACACAGTGGCACATGGCCACTGTGCCTGATGTCGATGCTATTGGTGTTAGCGGTGGCGTATCAGTGATGGTGACGATAACTCTTAACTAATTGCTTCTGCTGCTACAAGCTCCTCAGCAAAAACGGCTGCGGGCCGCAATCTAAAGCCAAATCTCTGACCCCGCTGAGTTATTGTCTAGTGAATGGCAAAAATGATCGCGGTAGTGGTAGCTGTCATTACGGTAGAAAAAGGCATAACGTAACACGGCCGAGCAGGGAGTTGCACTGCACTGCACCACACGCAGCAGCAACGGCATGAATGCAAAGGAAAGCAATGTATTCTTCTTGTTCCTATTGGCCGTTTGCCATCGCTATTGCTGTTGTTGTCGTCTATATGCACTGTTGACTCCCCGTCGCGTAGGATCCGACGCTGCCCGTAGTACGCAGTAGTACAACAAACTAACGAACGAATGAGTTAACCAACAAACAAAGGGAAGAAAGACCAGTAAGACTATGGCCAGTGGTCAGACGGTGAAGGTAAAAGGACGGAAAGGAAACCCAGATATGGCAATATTGGCCGAGGAGGTATAGGTTCTTGAAGAAACCATCCGCTATGTCAACACTGTTGATGCATACTTGCGCAGTACTTGGAAATATAACTCGAAAAGGATATCCAAAAGAGAAGCGAATATATATATATAATTATTCATCGTCTTTGACAGCTACCTATCTTCTTCGCTCTTCTCTATTCTATTATCTTCTTGTTTAACTTCAAGAGGTATCAGAAGAAGTTGACGCTTGAGCTTGTTGTGCTCGTGTTCCACTTTTGTCTGCATCCGTTGCTTCAGCTATGGTAAGACAAAACCAGGGGTTGCTACCGTAGCAGCATAACTAATACTATAGGGCAAAACAACGGCTGGTAATGGGCTACGCTCCTGGGCCCAGTAGCTCTGCGGCGGCAATCAGTTAGTTGGCTTTAAAGCATTTCTGCCTTTGCTATCAGTGGAACTCTAGGTAACGGGCACTGCGCTGACGTGTCAACGATTTACTTTGCAACGCCATGTAGAACAGTAATGGACAATGGCACATGTAATAAAGCCGACCTAGCCCGCCTTAGAAATCAACCAGTAATGCACGAAACAATATCCGTTAGTCGGTTGCTACTGCTCCCGAGAAGCCGAGGCGACTGCTGGCAATGACGAGAAAGTGCTTCATACACATCCGCACACACGAAGACGAATGTAGACGTGTATATCGATGGCTTTCGGATATGGCTAGACTCTTGGTTTCTCGCTGCAGTAAGCCATAGAAATAGATGTGACAGACAAAGAAATCAGCGACGGCAGGGAAGTTTGATCGAGCAATATCGGCAGACTCCAGATTTAGCCACCTCCCCTCTGGTAATGGATCTATCAATTAATTACTCCGCGACAGCATCAGCAGCCAAAACATTGTTACAGCTTTGGCATCAATACTATCACAACAACGTCAGTAACGCTTGAAGAGAATCAACTCTTCATTCAGTGAAGAACCGCTACCTTGACAACGGCGGAATAACAACATCGGCTATCGAGGCATTGACCACGGGGCCACGAGGGCAACAACGATCCTTGATAGGTAGGACAATCGAAAAGAACTGCATCCGAGGTACAGGGTTGGTCTAAATACACGTATAAGTACATATTAAGTAAATGCTATACACGCAGACAACTGCAACACGGTGATTACACTAATCTAAGGTTTGTACTTGTTTGTAATAATAATGGGAAAATCACGAAGGATCGTGCTTGCGTGTATGGCCTGGACTGGCAATAAAAGAAAATTGAAATGTGCGAAAATGATAAGTCAAAAGATAGCACTAAGGGGTCTCAAGTTAATTTGATTGTCATTAGAGAAAACCTGTTAGATTCCTGCGCAGCCTTAATGACCGACCGTACGAAATGATAATAATGATGTAGTGTTTTTGAGACAAAGCTGTCTATTTTCCTGGTTTAGTCGCTAGTTAAGCAGGTAAGCTTTCGGCATAGTGCTATAAAAAATGGGTTTTCGATAGAGTGCTAAAATGTCAGCTCTTCTTCTCAGCCAGCAGACAAATCTCACACGTAGTACTAGTGCTGAGAAGAGATGCGACGCTTACAACGTTGTGACGTATTGAAGACACAACAAATGTTGCGTCCTTTAGAAGATTTTCCCACTATAGGTGCATCGATAATTCTAGTAATAATCATTTGTTAGTGAGTGATGTACTTAACTTTCGATCGAACTTAACTTTGCGATTTACGGAGGGTGCGAAACGAGACGACGGAAAGAAACGTTAGATTTTAGCAAACGTTCAAGTATCTTGAACTCAGTACTTCTCCCGCTACCTTTAGACTTGGATGGGCTTGACAACTGGTAACAGCTACGGTACAATTACACCACTGCCACTAACATTACAGTGATAGAAGCCCACTGAGTGCAATAAATAGGAGCCGTACATTATACAAGGGCGCCCATGATGCTACTCATAGCGTTTAAACGTCGTTTGATACATTCATCAACGACTTGATCCCTACTTGGTATCTAGTCCTAATGTCCTAGATATCCGGATGGCAGCCTTTTTTCCTAACCCGGAAGAAGCTGTCAGGATGCAGCGCTAAGTGTTGCGTGCGGTTAGTGTATTGCCGATGGTTGGCTGTACATTACGATCAAGCATTTTTCACTCGTTTCGGCTTACATACTCCTTCTACTAAAGCTGCTATTGAATATAGCATTATGATTGTTGCCACGCTAGTCATTAGGGCGATGATCAGCACTTATTCATGTCATCTAGCTATATATTATTATTGTTTCTATCAAAATAGCGTCACACGATGTAGATTCTAGGCCAACAACAGAGTGGCTGTTAGCGGGACTGTTAGTTGTGGCCCCCCATTGTGTTATCTATGCTATTTTAACGTCTAATTTCGCTTAGGTAGAGAAGAATGGTGGGACATTAAGTAGGTAGATAGCTAGCTAGTTAGTTAAACGTCTTTCACAGAAAATGAAAATATTTGTATTTACGAAAAGGTCGTTTTAGCACTGGCACAAACCTTATTCAAAACCAAATGTGGTTTAAAAAAAAAAACCGTTAATTTGTTTAATCTATCGATTTTTTGCTTCCTGATTATATTCTTGACTTAAACCGTCCGGTGCTTTGCTCTTCGACTGCTTCGCGTGTTGTAGTTCTCCGATAGTTGAAGCCTCTGTAGCCGCTATGGTTGATCCCCTTCAGATGATCTCACAACAACATTGCCCATTAGTTCCGTCCATGTTCTCATTCGTTCTTCGTAAAACCCAACACTGATAACAACAACACATATAGCTACGAGAAACATCTGAAATATACTAATGGAAGACGGTGCCCTCATGTAAAAGATTAAGGTTACATCTAACCTTCTGGAAGTTAGCCCAGAAAAAAGCGTATCTGCGCTAACTTATCATTTGGCTCATTGCAAATAGAAAATATTCAATGGCTTTAAGTTGAAAGAAAGTTTGATTTTTGTTGCCTCACACTAACAAACAGGTGCTCTAGGCGCGCCCAAGCGAATTCGTCCTACTAGGTACGAAAACGAGGGCCGGTTATCCTTTCAATTTAGTTTTGCCACGCAGATCGATTCTGGTCGAAATAGCTATTTTCGCGTTTTGTGATAACTGCTTTCAGGTGCGAACATTCAGGATAGGTTGATCGTACCTGTGGATTTAATGTCCTATTAAGTAGCTACACCATATCGCCAATATGTACTTTAACCAGTATCAACCAGATAAAAAAAAAAAGCTTATGTGTGAATATCGGAGTAGTTTCTGCTAATTCATGTATTCGCCTACTGCTCGTTCTCACAGGGCCATGGCTAACTAAAGTGAATTGGCACTTTTGTTGAAACTCTCCAACATTTACACATCCCGCATTCTTTGGCTAGGGACTTATTGTCTATAAAACCTATACATATCTGCTCAGAGTTAAATCTTGCTCGGACGGCGCAAAATAATTACTTTTATTGCCTTCATTGTCCCTCAGGCTTCAGGTTTAGTGAACATGTTTGTCATTTGTTCCGTTTAGGTTACCCATGCACAGACGTGTTATGTACTTGTCGTTTAAACGTGCCCGACTCGATCTTTGCGCTAGAAGAGCTCGTGGAAGACATGGTAATAAGAGTTATCTAACGAAAGTACAATTGTTTTCTTGCACCTTGCATAAGGTGCCGAATAACATACGCTGTTGATAGTATCTGCCAATCGGCTGAAGTTGCGCTCGATCCCTAGTAACAGTAGGTTTAAAATTCTCGCGCTTTTGAAGAGACGCACACTTGATGCCTCTTAACATTCCGACGATCTTTGTGGTGCGCCTGACAACAAACGGCACTTTTGGCCGTCACAAAATCGATGACAAGCCGTCGCTGAACAAACGAGGCTGACGTTTACGAAAAGTATGTTTAAAATCCTTCTGTAAAAAAAAAAAAAAACTTCTGTAAGTGACGATTTAAGACTGAAAATGATGTAATTGTTACCTTTGTGCTAGGAACAGAAGTTACACTTGGAAAAATTCGTGACGATCTTTTCAAAGAGCGACAACAGAAACAATTGTCAATCTTATCACCACTGGAATGGCATCCTTCGTAACATCATGCTTCATCAGGAGAATAGCACGTAATTACGTAGAATTCAGGTGGTTTACGGCTTTATGCGAAAAAATTGGTGCTAAATGGCCTGAGCCGTGGGAGACTGCATTAGAAGCCAGTAAACGACTCCATCATTTATGGCAACAGAGACGGAGTTTGTCGCCACTCTAAATGCATTCCGTTACTGAAAAATATGGATAAGTAAAATAGCCTCGAAAATCCTAGTGCAGAATTCCGACACGCGTTGAAATCTTGGAGTAATAGTGCCAAAGACATGGATCACATATTAGGAAGTCAGAGCTTTGATTGTATACCTATACAGTATGGTGGTAAAGACCTATGCAGTATACTTGCCGTGCAAGTCGAGATGATAATAACGACGAGAAAGATAAGCAAGTAATAACTATTAAAATGGGTTGAATATTTTATAATAATATCCCTAAAATATGTATACTTCTGTCATGTAAATGCGTATAAACGTCTGTAATTGGTGCGATTTCTTGTTTTTATTTATTAGTTTTTCTAACAAACTTATTTTATGGGCAGGAAAACTAGAATGACTTCTAGAAATTATACAAGGTAAAACAACGATGTTTTAAAATATTGGGTACACGCTAAAGCCGATACTCTGGGAGCTTTTCAACAGCGTTGTGCTTTGTACGACACCTAATCACGTTATCCCTGTTTTTTTTTTTTTTTTTTTTTAATTTTCTCCAAAGAATCCATAGTAGGATAGCTTATGCTGCCTATTTCTCTTTTCAGAGCTAGGAAGCAGTCGAAATTCTACGGAGATCTGCAGAATGTATAACTAAAGACATCGCTATATTTCGTGCCAAACCGTGATTGAAGCGTTGTGGTAAGGTCGTGTGTGTGTTATTGTGGAGCAACTGTGAACCTCCGTATCATGCACCTATCTTGAATTCAAGATATCTAGTGGCACTGAACGATACCTCATAACAACAAACGGCGCTAATGTCCATTGTGACCATGGGCATCAACTTACCAGCGAATCTATTCAACATTGTCGTTGAAGTTATTTCCTTCGCTGCTCTCATCTGATCCTGTTCTGATCGTTGGCACAGACTGACCTATCGCTCGTTTATGGAGCCCAGGTAGTTTTTCGGTGGTAAACGAGATAAAATAGTGAAGAAGGACAAATCACCAAATAAACCAAGCAGATAGAACTAGCAGCGGTGCTAAGAGAGTATCCATCCATAAAGCGGAAGAAAACATCAGGCAAAAGTCTTAACAGTTTGAAACCAGCAGCGTTCCCAATTGAAGTTCGTCCTGCGTAATCGGCTCTGTTAATCGTGCATGGGTAATAATAACAGCAGTGGCTACGAATTACCAAGTATCGCTGTCCAGCAACGAATCGTCAGTTAAACTTCGCACACCCAGCCGAATGTTCATGATGGCGACAATGACGAAGATCATGACGCTGATAATTGTGACGATCCCATCCTAGCACAAACGGAGGGGCGGATTGTGCCCAGTGGCGATCGCTGGTAGTAGCGGTCCTAACAACACTAAACAGTGAAGTTGAACGTTTATCAGTTACTAAGCCGTCGATAGGCCCATGATGCCCTGCACTGCAATGATAATTACCGTGATACTAATAACAATTCACCGAAACGTTTCGAAAGTTAATTTCTTTCTTGTCTGGAGATTACGTACGAGTGACAGCAGCAGTAACAGCGGAGGCAGTCGGAACAGATACAACGTCAAAAATGACGAGGTTGCTCGCAAAAACTGCTATTGAAACAAGAAAATCAGCCTATGCGAGCTCGCCCGAACCGTGTTGCGAAAACTTAGATACCCTCAAACAGAGAGATGGTAATGGGGAGGACGAAGGCAGTGACGATTAGACTGTGGCGGCTCGTTGGTTCCGAGGATTCTGGGACGACAGCCAGTTGCTCAGCTGTTTCGATTCAGAGACAGCGGGAGAAAAGGAGTGGAAATGACTTTCAGGACAAAGCCGAACAAAACCACAGTACAAGGGGTACCGTTGGTCCCAGCTCGATCAACCTATGCGCTGGCAGATCATGATAGAGTCTGAAAAACAGCATCCGCTAGCAGAGGTGATCAATTTGAAATTCACAGGCAGTCGCATTAGTGTGAGTAGTAGCACCAGACGAAATGGCAATTGAAGCAGTGCGATCTCTTCTTTCTTTCTTTAAATTGGTAAAAGAAATTCTTCAAAGGGAAGACGACTGGGATTGGGTCGTTTTTGTTGCATAGGATAGTTGCTTAATGACAGTAGCTGTGAAACTGATGCAAATGTGAGTCGTGATGGTGTCGTAATTGTAATGCCTCCGTTTGACCTTGCGCGTCAGCTAATTCAGTCTTGTGACGGTTAGCGATAACGACAATTAGCTGTTACGAAGATGATTTGTCGTGCACACGCAGAGA